GAGAGGAAAGGAAAGAAGAGAAATGGAAACAAAGAAAACCTGGAGTCTCCAGCGTAAACAAAAGCCTGCAGAATCTGGAGGGAATCTATACTTGCAATAAGAGATTCCTATTTTTACAACTTCCAGCACAAGAACAGGCCAAAATGAACACCTCATGGGGCAGCTAGCTCCAGGGAGAAAACTGCAGTCTCTCTGGTCTAAAGAACAAAAGGACAGAGTTCAGAGCAACCACAGGCACTGAAAAGTGAAGGGCAAAATCCCAGAAAAGAGAGCTTGAGAGACGGCGTCCCAAATTCTGTGTATAAGTCTGTGTATTCTCTGCCCAAGTCCCTGACTGATCCTTGAACCACGCAGCATGCACGTACAGAAAATACCTCAGAGAAGCCCAGCTAAAGATAAAAGAGCTGAACTGAGTTTTTAACTGCTGCCCAAGAGATAGAAATTATACTCTGATGTGAACCAATTTAATTGCCTGCTGAAACAAAAAAACCTCAACGCCTTTAGAGGACTATACCAGAATTCAGAGTCTTTACAGCATAACAGTCACATGCCAAGATAAATTTGAAAGTATTCAGTTTATTAAGGACCAGACAAATGTGACTTCATCTCAGGAAAAAAGACGAAGGAAATTAACTCTGAGATGACCCAGACATTTCAATTAGCAGACAAGGATTTGAGAGCAACTATTGTAACAACGATAAACCAACTACTAATGCTTTCCTTGGCCTTAGAATGTTCCAGGAAAACATGTTTACAATGATGAAAAATATAGTTGATTTCAACAGAAAAATAGAAACTTTTTAAGGGACCAAATGGAAATTATAAAACTGAAAAACACAATATCTGAAATTAAAAAGGCAGCTTTGCAGGTACAACTTTCTTCCTCGGAAGAATTCTCGCTCTTTTTATATAAAATAATCTTTTGTTTAGTCTCTCTGATAACTAACCTTACCTATCTAACTACTTGGTTCCTCCTGTCTTGAGTGTTCAGGGCCTGATTCTAGTATTTATGACTGGTATAATCTCTATGACTTGATTCCTGACTTAATTTTATGCCACTACCCTAATTAATACTTTTGTCTAATTTGACCTAACCCTGCATCACATCTGCAGTAGTTTTAAAACATGCCATGGGGCACCTGACTGGCTCAGTTGGTAGATCGTGTGACTCTTGATCTCGGGGTTGTAAGTTTGAGCCCCATGTTGGGTGTAGAGATTATTTAAAAGTAAAATCTTCTTTAAAAAGTTCAAATTTCATGACATTCCTTCCTCCAAAAAGTGGACCTTGATTCCCCTCCCTCGAGAGTGGACTGGACTTAACCATTTCTAATAAAAAGAATATGTCAAAAATGGCAGTGTGATTTCCAAGATAAGGTCATAGAAGGCATTGAAGCCTCTTCCTTTCTTTCTTGGGTCATTCAACCTGAGGGAACCCACATCATTAAGGCATTCAAACAACTCTATGGAGAGGTACACGTGGAAAGCAACTCAGTTCTACCAATAGCCAGCAAGAGGTCTTCTGCCAATAGTCATGTGTTATGGGTTAAATTGTGTCCCTCTCCCCCAAAAGATAAGTTGGAGTCTTAACCCCCAGCACCTAAAAATCTGCCTTATCTGTAGATAACTCTATAGGGTTTTTACAGAGGTAATCAAGTTACAACAAAGTCATTAAAGGTAGACTAAATCCAGTATGACTGGTGTCCTTATGAAAAAGGGAAATGTGGACACAGAGACATGCACACAGGGAGAATGCCAAGTGGAAATGAAATCAGAGATCAGGACGAAGCAGGTACAAGCCACAGAAGATCAAAGACTGCCAGCAAACCACCAAAACCTAGGAGAGAGGCATGGAATAGATTCTCCCTCACAGCTGTCTTAAAGAACCACTCTGCCAACACTTTGATCTTGCACTTCTAGCCCCCAAGACCAGAGACAACACAATTCGGTTGCTCTAAATCACCCAGTCTGTGGCACTTTGTTACAACAGCAGCCCCAGGAAACTAACACATCATGTGAATGAACCACTTTAGAAGCAGATTATCTAGTCCTAGGGACAAGCTTTCAGATTACTGCAGCCTTAACCATTGATCTTGACCTCCGCTTCCTGAGACAACCCTAGTCAGAACTGAGACAGCCAAGTCACTACTGAATTCCTGACCCACAGAAATTATAAGATAACTGTTTGACGTTTTAACTACTGTTATGGACTAAATTGTGTCCTCCACCCTATATTCATATGTTAAAGCCCTAATCCCAAAGTGACTGTATTTGGAGACAGAGCCTTTACAGAGGTAATTAAGGTTCAATGAGATTGTTAGGATGGCACCCTAATCCAATATGACTGTTGTCCGTGTAAGAAGAGGAAGAAATACAAGGGATGGCCACACACAAAGAAAAGGCCATGTGAAGACACAGTCAGAAGGCCGCCATCTGCAAGCCATGGAGCGGGGCCTCAAGAGAAACCAAACCTGCTGACATCTTGACCCAGACTTATTGCCTCCAGAACTAGAGAAAACAATTTTCTGTTGTTTGAGCCACTTGGTCCGTGGTATTTTGTTATGGCAGCCCCAGAAGAATAATGCAGCTGCTAAAATTTGGGGATAACTTGTCCCACAAGAATAGTTTACAAGATTCTTTCCCACACCAGCCCCCTAAACACACACATTTTCCATCTCCATTCACCACCCAAAATGGTCCCAACAGTCTAGCCCCAAAGTACACAAATTAGAAATGTCAGCAGTATTTTTTTGAACAGATTTGATGTTCTGAAACTCCATTCTCTCACAGATTGTGGAAAAGGCCCTGTGATAAATCCATCAAGTGACAAGCAATTCTCACCTTTAAGTGAAAATAGTAAAGGATGACAATTAGCCTGTGCATGACCCTGTTCGATTTTAGACTACGACCATGACCAAGATCATAATAGAACTTTGAGAAGAAAAGAAGCTTATAATCCTAACCCAATGGAGAACTTCGGTCCATTGGAAATAACCACTACCTTCTCTCCGCTACTCTTAGCAGCTTGGTCCTCTGCTGTGGATGTTGAATTATATGAAACTGTTAACCCCTCAACCAACAAACACTTGCTCTTCCAGACCAGTGACTTGTCTCCATTAGATTTTTTAATTTATTACAGTTCCTAGCACAGAGCAAGCACTCAATAAATGTTTACAGAATGACTGGATCCAGAACTGCCCCCAACCCCTTTAATTCTACTGGAGGCAGTCCTATGCCAAGACTGTAAAAAGGCAGCACTGAGCTGTGAACCTTGCTCATTCATCTTATCCCCTCAGGAGAACTCCTTCTGCTGCAGCTCCTGACAAATTCAAAGTCTGGTCTGTTTGATTTCTCTGGCAATTTTTAGCTTCTTATTGGCAGGTAACCTCTCTCGAATTTAACTCTTGCCTGTCCCTTTACCATCACAGTGACCATTTTCTGCTTCACGTTTTCCGAACACAACCCTAAGGGCCCGTGCATTCCATTAGCCCTCCTCGTGGGCCAATTCTCAGCCTTCATACCTGGCCTAAATCTTTACCCCACTTATAATCAATCAGCACCCTTAACCATCCTACCTATTCAACTCCAGGGCTGAAAACCTGAATCTTAGGACTTGATGGCTTTAAGTCTCTTTAGTTTGGGTTCCTGGAATTGTGTTCTACTGACTGGTAAGGGGGGAGGAGGGATTAGTTCTGCATTATTTTTAATGAGTATATAATAAATATTATAAGAGCCACAGACGTGTGCATGAATGTGGTTGCAAAACCTAATCTTTTCAGTGTTTCCTTGGCCCCAAACTCCAAACTCCTTTCACCCTTTCCTACTATTAAAGGGAAGTTTAGGTTTGTGTTAAGTGTCAGAGGTGACCACACTTATTGGAGGCAAAAAAGAAGCTGGAGTATCCAGTAATATCAATATTTTTAGTTATATTTCATAATTAACCCTGACCTATACCTTTAGATGTATTTAGAGGTTCTTGAGCTAATTTCTGGAAACATTCAGGGGAAACTCTTTTTAAAATACACCATCTCAAGGAAGATCCTTAATGCATTCATGAATGAACTAAGGACACAATTTGCCTTAAAAAGTTCCCAAGCAGTTTCTCCAGCCAAAAACATTTGGAGACTGAGTACTTAAGTAAAAACACTGTAACTATTCATAATAACAGCTAATATTTGGGACGCATGGGTGGCTCAGTTGGTTAAACAGCGTGGTCTTGATTTTGGCTCTGGTCATGATCTCACCGTTCAGGAGATCAAGCCCCTCACAAGTCTCTGCTTTGACAGTGCATCCCCCAAAAAACACAGCTAACATTTATTGAGTGTTTTTACAATATGCAGGCTAATGTGCTCGTGTGCTTAATAGGGATGCTCGCATTTAATCCTGCCAACCGCCCCATGACAAAACTTAAGCACAAAAGAGTTACTTGTCCAAAGATACCCAGCTGGTAAATCATCAAGTGGAATTTAAACCACTTTAAGTTTCTGAATCCAGAACTCCACAGCCTCTTGGGTTTCTAGCAGCTTTACTAATAACATTCCCTTCTGGTATTTAGCTGTTGGCATAAAGTATTTCACTGGGTTATCTCATCCTTTTGTTGCCAGGACCTGGATAAGGATAGAAGTGTCTCTTGGACCAATTTATTCACGTCTAGAAGAGAGCCCTTTGGCAGTGTGTCAACACTTATCCAGGAAGTACTCAATGTTTACTGAATGAATGAAGCCAGTTTGGAATTTGTTAAAAATAAATGACTCTTTTATAGCCATTTAAGCATTTAAAAAAGAGGGGCAGTCTCAAAATCGTCTCTCATTACATGCTCACATCGAAAACTGTGCATTCCATTTTGGTGATTCGGGAAGGTGAAATCACAGAGATAACTGGGGGTGGAGCAGGGGCAGTGGAAGGTGGGGAGGATTATTCTGTAAGAAAAGAGGACAGAGTGCTAGACCCAAAGAGATAAATCTAAATCCTAAATCTAAACTAAGTCCATAATGAATGGTCAGAAAATCCAAGGGGAGGGAAAGACACCAAACTTCGAGGAGACCCTCGAAATACGTTTCAACATTCCAGCCTCACTCTCAAATGTTCACATCTGAAAGTTACGTTGGAAATTACCTGGGTCGCCTTGGTGACTTCCCGAGATGGTGCCGATACTTATATAATGAAAGGTCAGTATGAAACGCAACAGCGTCCAGGGGCATGAAACGCGCCAGCTGCTCTGCCAGAGAAGGCCAGCCAGGTAACCACCCGCGCAGAAATGTGGGGTGCGTACCA